CATGGACATATCTCACCCTCTGGGGAAGCAGGGCATTTGGAAAAGCTGAGGTCTGCAGCTGGGGGAGCAAAACAAGAAGAACACTTCTGTTCCAAAGTGTTCAGATCAATGTCAGACAGGGAAAATGCGGGAGGCAGGAGGAAAAAAACCATCATCTGGTTTGCTTTTGTCATCCAAAAGCAAATGAGCCTAGGAAGAAACATATCCAAGAGTGGCATTGCCTGGACTCCTGAGCAACTTTCCTGGGTGCTCCAAGAGCCTGGGCAAAAAAATGTTTGAAGCACTTAGTCCTTCCGAGCAGACTGACACAATGACAGCTTCCTCCATGGTGTGCATTAAGAGAAATTATGGCCTGGGCCCCTCTTTAAGCAGTTTCTATGTTTGCAGCCCCACATGCCAGCCTGGCAGTGCTGGAGCTGCCTGTCCCACAGCACAGCAGCCCTGGCAGCAGCCTGCCCTGTGCCCGTGATCACCGTGCTGTGAAAATGCCCTGGAACAGGCTCATGGACATGGCTGCTCATTTGTAATATAGCAGAAAAAGTCATTGTCACTGCCAAGAAAAGACAAAAGGCCGCCAAACAATAACCCAGTTGTAAATGAAGGCTATAAATATGGAGATGGATGGAAGGTAACTACAGGCTTCCTCTCACACACATGGCACCCAGCTTGGAAAGTGTCCTTCAGTGAAGATGCTGTGTGTGCCATGGGCAGCCTTTTCTGATCAGAAATTGTTCAGTGAAAAAAAAAAATTAAAATCTGCTTTTCTCACTTTCCATAGGTCAATATTAGGATAAAAGGTCTGAGCTCAACTTTGAGTGGAAAACAGGAATAAGTGATGCCTGTGGCCCTGAACACTCCTTGCTCCTGCAAGGATTTGAAAGTAAGTTTGAAAAATCAATTAAAAAATATGATGAGTTGTACAGAATGAAGCTGTGGGGTCAAGTGAGAGCAAAAGGATGCACAAAGATCATGGTACATTGAAAAATCACACTGATTGCAGCTGCCTTCGTGCTGTGACTGTCCTCTTGAAACAGCTCTCTGCAAGATTTGTTGGGCAAAGGCTGAAATGTTATTTAATTGTAATAAAATGTTAATAATAAATGTTATTTAATTGTAATAATGTAATAATGCCATAACAATGCCACAGCCATTGTTGTTGCCAGGTGGGTAAGAAAGCTGATTTGCATTAAATCCTGAGGACATACTTTAGGCAGAAGTTTGCTGCTGCTATTGCTGGGTTTCAGGCCAATTCCTGATCCCAGATGTAGTTCTGGCAGAGGAGGCACACACACATTTAGGGCTGGATTCTGTTTAGCCATGGATGGACTGTGTGCTGGCCACATCACAGGAGCTGCATCTGTCCTAAGAGTCAGATGGACTCAGTGGCAGCAAGTGAAACCAGAAAATCTTGAGGAGAGGAGAGGAGAGGAGAGGAGAGGAGAGGAGGAGTGAAACTGAGTGCAACAACAGAAGGAGAGAAAAGGACAGGCAGAACTGAATCTGTGACCTTCATACACGAAGTTTGGAAAGCTGCTGGTGTTCCCAGGGCAGCTCCCGGCGATCACCCAGTGCCCTCTGCTGACATCAGACCGGAGTAGCCTCTGCAGAAGCCCGAGCGGTGTCAGCAGAGATCTCGAGCTCTTAATTCCTCTGGCAGCACAAAACCACAACAATTCCCCTCTGGGAAAACGCTGGCACCGCTCTGACCTGTCCCTTCCCGCAGCTCCTGCGGGGATGCTCCGTGTCCTGCCCGTGCCTGCCTGCCCCAGTGCGCCCACGGAAACACCCGGGATCCAGCCGTGCAGGATGCTGTGGAAAACAACTCCTAGAGACTGACTTCTGTACCGCGTGGTGTGTTAAGGGGATGGTCCCCCTGTGCCAATGCAGGGTATTTCTGTGTCTGTGTGTCCACGTGTCCGTGTGCGGGGGTGCTCACAATCTGCTTCGCCTCCCCAGCTGATTCCTGCCTGGTGTCGGTGCCCTCTAGTGTTGTGAACGCTCCATCCAGTATGTTAAAAAAAACTGTAAAATTGATCTCTGCTTCAGAATTCCTGGCCTTGCTAACTCTTAATACACTAATTCAGTTAATTATGCAGCATAGTTACAATTTAACGGAGACAACGTGACCCTGAGCTATCAGATGATCACAGCACAACACCAGACACCTGAGAACACGGTTCTGTAAGCTGAAGCTAACATCTCTAGGGCCTCAGCCTGCAAACCACTCCCAAATCTGCTGGCTGTACAACCCTCCACCTGACCCAGCCTGCATCTGGGATTATCAGCTCTCCCAGATGTTCTCCTGGCTGTGGCTGCGAGGTGCTGATTGAGCTGGGAAATAATCCACCCCAGTAACATCTGGCCCAGGAGACAGGAACTGGGATTAGAGCAGGACTGCCTGGTTTGGTCTCAGACCCAGAGCTGGTGGGCTCAGGCTGGTCTGAGCAGTGTGGATTCCCAGGACTTCAGTGAGGGCCACCACTAACCAGCCACTAATCACCACAAACTATCACCAACCACAAACCACCACAAACTATCACTAACCACCACTAACCACCACAAATTATCACTAATCACCAACAAACCACCAGTAACTAAACACAAACTACCACTAACCAACCACAAACCAGTACAAACTAACACCAACCACCACTAACCAATCACAAACCACCACAAACTATCACTATCACTAACCAACAACAAACTAGTACAAACCATCACAAACTATCACTAACCAACCACTATCCAATCACTAACTACCACTAACCAACCGCAAAACACCATAAACTAACACTAACTAACCACAAAACACCACTAACCAAGCCACAAACCACCACAAACTATCACTAACCAACCACAAACTATGGCAAAGCACCACAAACCACCACTAACCAACCTCAAACCACCACTAACTAACCCCAAACCACCACTAACCAACCCCAAACCACCACTAACCAACCCCAAACCACCACTAACCAACCTCAAACCACCACTAACCAACCCCAAACCACCGCAATCAGCCCCAGCAGCTCGGTGTGGGGCAGCTCTGTCCGTGCCCCCCCGCTGCCGGACGCTCGGCGGGCACATCCTTCACCGGGATGCGATCGGCTTTTAGTAGAAACCCGTTCTGCAGGCGGTCCCTGCTGAGGGGACCGTGCTCAGTGACACCTCTGTGCTGCCAGGCTCCCGCAGGGCAGCCGCTGCTGTTTCTGTCCCCGTGTCCCGCGACGGGACCCCCCCCGTGCCGCGGGTGATGCAATGATGCGATTGCATCAGCCCGTGTGAGCGGTGAAATCATCCTCACCGCCCAGAGCGGCCCCTTGGAATCATCCTCATCCTCACCGCCCAGAGCGGCTCCTTGGAATCATCCTCACAGCCCAGAGCGGCTCCTCCGAGCTCCCCTCGCTGCGAGGTTGTGTCATTGACCCGCTGAAGCACTGGGCTGAGAAATCCCAGCAGTTAGTGAGGGAATAGGGAGAGAGAGGGCAGATCCCATGGGGAGATGTTGAGGGAGCTGGGAAAGGGGCTCAGCCTGGAGAAAAGGGGGATCAGAGCGAATTTCTGGCTCTGCACAACTCCCTGACAGGAGGGGTCAGCCGGGGGGTCGGGCTCTGCTGCCAGGGAACAAGGACAGGAGGAGAGGGAACGACCCCAATTTGCACCAGAGGAAGGTCAGGTTGGATATGAGGGAAAATTTCCCTGAAAAGTGCTCAGGCACAGATTGCCCAAGGCACCGATGGAATCACCATCGCTGGAGGTGTTCAAAAGGAGTGTGGTGTGGCACTTGGGGCACTGCTTAGTGGCGAACACGGTGCATGCTAGGTTAACACTGGGAGTCAATGTTCTTAAAGGCTTTTTCCAACCACAATAATTTGGTGAAGTTGACTGCTTAACAGAATTTCATTAAATCCTTTCAGTTATTCCAACTTGACATTCAGGCTTCTGTTGAAGCTGCTGCACAGTGACACTGGGGAGCTCAGGAGAGTTCTCAAAAGCATTGGCTGGAATGAGAGGGCTTGAAGTTTGAAAGGAAAGAGAGAGAAATGGGGACCAACGTTCCCCCAAAGAACAGATTTAAACCTAAACACAGTTCAGCCACTCACCCTGGCACAGCAACCAGTATGGCCCAGGGCACAGAAATGAGCAGCAGTGATTGCCCATCCTGCCCTTCCCGGAGGTTGGGAAAGCAGTAGGGTCCTGTCAGGACCAGGGTCAGGACTGAGTAATAACAGTTCGGGGACAGCACTAAGGGCTGTCACCGGGAAATTTAACTCCCCCTGCACAAGGAGGTTCAGTTCCACACACCACTTTGGTTTACACTGTGGCAGAGACAGCCATTGCACGGCAATCCTGGGATACCTCCGGTGCGGCTCCACAGAACCACCCAGAGGTGAGAGTGAGTCACGGGACAGGTTCATGCCGAGCCTGGCAGCCCTCAGCTCTGGGGCCGCTCTGTGCTGCCCACACAAACCTCACACACAGAGCACACGGCGAACACACACCGAGCGTGCCACAGCCGCACTCGGAACCCCCGAGTTTGTTATTTCTGCTGCGGGTTTCCCCACTGCTGGACAAGGACGGCCGGGGCTCCTTCAGCCTCCAGCCCATACCTGGAATGCCGGACCACCTCAGCTCTTCGGGAACAAGGTCCCGCAAACCCGGGGGTTATTCAGTGTCACAGCCCGGGCGGTGACAGCGGGACGCCCCGATTTGTTGCGCCCAGACTCCGCTAGGTGCTGAGCTCCGGCCCCGCCGCCTCCCGATCCCGGTCCCGATCCCGCCGCTCCCCTGCCGCCCCCGCCGGCGCCGCTCCCCGGGCTCGCCCCGCCCCGGCGGCGCCGCCGCCAATGGAGCAGCGGGGCGGGGCACGGGGCACTCCCGGTGCCCGCACGGGACGGGCTCCGACCCGCTCCCCTCTGTGCGGAGCCGCCGACTCACTGCCCGTGCGGTGCCGGTCCGGGTCCGCGCCGCCTCTCCTGGTCCTGCCGGTCTCGATCTCGGTCTCGCTGCTCTGCCGGTCCCGGTTCCGATCCGCACCCTGCTGCCAGCACCGGGACCCAGGTAAGGCGCGGGGGTCGCGCACCTGCCCGCCCGCTCGCGGTGGTCCCGACCCATCCCGGTACCGGTGTCACCGCCGGGCAGAGGCAGTTCGGGGTCGGGGGGACCAGAGGAACCGGCGGCGGGTCCCGCTCCCAGCAGCGATACACGTGGGCTGGAGCCGGCTCCGGGATCACCTCGGAGCGCCGGCGGTACCGGCCCGGGCGGTACCGGGCTGATGGGTGCGAGAGATGCGGACACCGGAGCCGGGGTCCCGGGGGATGCCGGGCGGGTGATGCGGGGTGGCCGTGCCGTGGCGGAGCCCCTGGCCGGGACGTGCCCGGGCATATCCCGGCGCGCTGCCGCCTTCCCCGAGCGGGCGGCGGGGGGCGCCGGCGGGGGCGGTGGGCGAGTCGGGCTGGGCCGGCGCTCGCCCACGGCCGGCACCGCGTGGGTGCTGCCCCCGCAGCCGTCCCGCCGCCAGCCTCGCCCCGGCTGCTTTTCCAAAAACGGGGGCTGCCGTATCCGGGGTCGGTAGGTTTAGGTCGTATGTTAGGAGCAAGTTTTTCCCAAAAAAAAATTTTCTTTCCTCGCCACAGGCAGTGATGGAGTCACCGTTTGGGGAGTTTGAATGGACGCGTGGATGTGGCACTTGGGGACTGGGTTAATAGTGGCCTGAGCCGTGCAGGGCTCCATGGTCTCAGAGAGCTTTTATGGCTTCAGTGGTTCTCTGATTATTGTAGGAAGGTAGTGAAAGTTACTAAGAATTAGGTGTGGGGCAAAAAACAGCTGGAAATCCAAAGTTTTATGTAAATGGATAGGAGATTTGGAGGTGTTACTCGAGATATCTGGTAAGGCAGAGTGTGGGGTTCCAAGGTGGGCAGCACTAACTTGGCAAAAATCACTGGCAAGTGGGCATTGTGCCCTGGGGACTCCTGCTGTGTGTTAGAGGTGTGAGAGCAGCCCGGAGCATTTCCTCTCCCACCCGAGCACACGGTGCTTTCATTTAAAGCAAACACAAGTCCCCAGCCACTCCAGATAAAACAATTAGTGGGCAATTGTGTGCACAGAATCTCCAGTTTGGGAAATCTACTGATTTCCAAGCCACGTGGAAAGCCTCAGATTCCACCTTTTCCTCTTCTTTGCTTCTGTGAGAAGCCCTTTGCCCAGAGGAGTGCCACTGCTGCATGGCCCTCCCACCACGGTTTGTAGCACAAAGAGATGAGGAGACACTGCCTGGACCAGAGTGAGGGAATGGCTGAGCAGGAGACTGGAACTGGCTGTGGCCAACCATGAGGCATGCACTCATATTTTCCAGATAGCATTTTTTTTCACTTGCAGTTCTTATTTAGGATTTCAGCTCTCTGTTCTTAGGTTCCAATGTATACAAGTGTCTCATCTGTCTCAGAGTGCTGTCTGACTGTGCCAGTCAGTCCTGCAGCAGAGTAGAAATCTCCTGTACTGTGTGTGCTGGCTCACGTGGTGACATGGAAGAGCCACTGCTGCCGTGTGGGTGTCTGGGCACCTCCTGTCCCATGGCTGGAGGGGACAGAGTCTGTGCTGGCATGGGAAGCAGCCCACCCCATCTCCTCCTGTCCTGCCTGCATCCCTGCCAGCCCCCCCTGCCCCAGTACCTGCTGGGCAGATGGGGAGAATCAGCAGCACTGAAGGTTTCACTGGTTACTTTCATTTTCTACCCTTTCACTTATTATTTTCCTCACCCTTGTTTTCCTCCCAGAATCCTTTAGCTGCACACAAAAGAAATAGATTGGATTCCAATACGGCCAATTTTTTTTTTTTAATTACACTTTCACGGAGAAAAGACAATAGCTGAGCTGTAGTGTTGTCACAGAGAGGATGAACTGCAGCTCATGCTGTGGCACTGCTGGAAAAATTTTATCTCATGCAGTAAAACTTGTTCAGCAGCTCGTGGTTTTGGTATCTTAAGGGCTGATGCAGTGGGGAGCCCATTCTGCTCTCCTGCTCAGGCAGGATGTCCCTTTAAGGCAATAAAAGGGTTCTTTAACAAATTAATGATGTTTTTAAGTTAGATCTCATGCATCTGGGACTGATGGCAGGAGATTCTTATTCCTCTCAACCGCTAACGACATTGATACTGTGTCCCATATATAGTCATTGTTACCATTTCACTTTTATATTCCCCTTAGGCAGATAAATTGTGCGGCTCTGGCAGTCTCGGGGAGACTCCATGCGGTTCCCAAAGAGGTGGGAGTTGTTGGTTTTGGCTTTCCCTTTAGCCTCAGTAAGACCAGTTGTTTCAGTCCAACATTAGGTGATTCAAGGCTGCTGCCATACCAGGGCAGCACCAGGTGGTTCACATACAAATCAAATGTCTTGGGTCTGATGGTGGTGAAATAAGAAGTACAAAGATCCCCTAGCTTTGAATTCCATGCCAGATATTCAAGAAAATGTTGGTTCCCTGTGTGGCTACGCTTGAGCAGCAGCAGACCTGCCCTGTGCCCAGTATCCTGCTGGCACGTTGGGTCTGGCTGGCTCCTCCATCCTGAGTGATTCCATCATCCTGGCAGACGTCCTTGTGCTTGGAGCAGCTCTGACACAGGATTCCTTTGGCCTGTGTAACTTTCTGTATTTGGCAAACTGCTTTAAACCGGGTTCTTGTGGGGAGGGGGCGTTGAGGGCATTGTCTCAGCTGCTGGCTGTTTGAACGGCTGGGAAATCCTGTAAATATATGAGAGGAAGTGGCAAAGTTGTGTTCACAGGACAGTTTCACCAAAACTCTGCTGGTTTGGGGTTTTTTGTTTGGTTGGTTTTTTGGGTGTTTTTTTGTTTGGTTAGTTGGTTAAGTTTTTGTTGTTTGTTTGTTTGTTTTGTTGAGGTTTTTTCTGCCAGTGCTTTTTTCCTTGCATTACATCACTTTGGAGAACAGGTAAAAATCAGCCCCTTGCTCTCCATGCTCTGGTGTCTGGGCTCCTTTCCTGTTGCCTGCAATTCTGCTTCATTCATCTTGTGCTGCTATTAGGAGCAAAAGCCTGAACCAAACTCCAGACCTGAGCATCACCAGTGCTGACCCTCACATCAGGCAGAGGCACCTCCTGCCAGGGAGGGTGGGGACTGTGGGGACTGAACTCACCAAGGGGCTGGGCTCAGGTCCCTGGCATGCTGTTGCCTCCCAGAGCAGTTGGGTGACACTTTCCCCGTGTGCCAGCCCCCCAAAGGAGTTGTGTGTCATTCATCTGGGACCTGGCTCCTTGCTTTTTATTTTCCCTCCTGCATTCAAGCTGTAGCTGAACCCTGACACCAAACCCTGTGCATCTCCTGGGGCAGTGATGCTGGGGTCTCTCTTCACTTTCTGAGATGATGACAACTCTTATTTATGGTGTCAGGAACCTTTATGCTGGTGATAAGCTCTGCCCGTGCCCCTCCTGAGGTGCTTGCAGGATGGATTTAGTCCCTTCAGCTCCTCCTGGTCTGTCCCCCAGTGCTTGGCTGCTGATCCTTGTATCAGCCCATGTGCAGGAGCTACGTGAGGGTGACTCATGAGCTGTGCAGTCTGGGCAGACCTCATCTCCCATGAATCTCGGGGGAGCCCAGCCAAGTGTCCGCTTCCAAAAGGCATCGGCAAGGGAGTGGTGGGATTAGGCAGAGGAGGCAGAAAAAGCCTGCGGAGGAATGCTGCTATGGGAGGGGAAGGAGCTGTGGCAGGAGGTGCTGGGTGTCCTGTAGATGATCCCCCTCTGCTGCAAGAGCCTTGCAGGGGTCAGACATCTGGCTGAGCTTCCCTCCCAGAGGATGGCTTTGGTTGAAGTGCCAGGCTCTCCTAGGCAGTTCAGGCTATTCCTGATAGAATATTCACTGTTCCTGTATGAACGATATGAACACATCAGGAATGTTCACTATTCCTGATGGGTGTTGAGAACTTGCTCCCAAGGCAGGTTAAACAGTTTCTCTCCTGATTTTCTGCACAAGGTAATAGGAAAAGCAATGTGGAGATTGGTCTAGTGAAAGTGGATATTATTCCCTGTCTGTCATCATGGGAAGAACCCATGAGTCTGTAGAAATAATCAGGCATCCCCAAAACTCCAAATAAATTGCTCTGTTTTGCAGCTTCAGTCTGAACTGCTTACTCTGAGATGCTGGTCCTGTGCTGCCCTTTGAGCCGTCTTTACTGACAGTGTGGCCCTGTGTCTCCTGGGCTGGTTCTGTTGTTGCCTTCTGCTCAGCCATTAATGCACCTCGGGAAGGCTCTGGAGGGTGTTTCAGAGGGAGGTGAAAGCTTGTTCTGCTGGTCCTCTGAGTTTGCTGTGAGTGATACCATGCAGAGATGAAACATGCACAGAGCAAGAGCCTGAGTGACTGCCCAGCTCCAGAGTGGAGCAGCAGGACCACGGTTGTGTGTGTGTGTGTCCCCCATTCTGCTGGGGACACAGCAGGACCACAGGTGTGTGTGTGTGTCCCTTTCTGTTGTGGGTGCAGGGTGTGTGTGGGGCAGTGTGTCCTGTTCTGCCAGGGACACATCAGCCACCAGCATTTGGTGCTGTCACACCAGTGCAGCCTCCTTGGCCAGAGCTGGGCTGTTGGATCCTGAAGCTGGGGCTTTGCTGGGGCCAAGCTCTCTACTGATTGTCTCTGGTACCCAGAGCCATGGCTGGGGCTGGCAGAATCCACTGGTGACCTGAGCAGTTAGTGGTCAGTACTTCAATACTGTGACTAAAATTTCATTTGCTGCATTGTGAGGCTATGAGATGGCAACAGAATGGGGCAGCTCATCACCAGCCTTGCTGGGAAGCCTGGGACTGATGGAGCCATGTGGGCAGGAATTACCTCCTGCCCAAATCCCACCCATGGTGCTCAGCAGTGTTGGCTGCTGTCCTGGCCAGGTGGAGATGTTCACCCAGAGATGGGCACACTGCTCATCCCAAATGTGTTAGGGCTGGCTTTGATCTCTCTTTCTCTCATCCCCAAGCTTCTCTCTCCTCTTCAGCACAATGGCCTGCCAAGAGAGTGAGTACCTGGATGACCAGAAGAAATGTGTCCCCTGCAGAAAGTGCATGCCTGGGCAGGAGCTTTCCAAGGTAAATTGACTTCTCTGTAAGGGGCAGAAATCATCATGGGTGACACAGCTGGGTTATTTCTCTGCCAGCCTCCCTTCAGAAAGATGACCTCAGGCCCCAGCATGTGGGGAAGAGCTGAGATTGGTAGGGTGGGATGGTGGATTGTTTCACTTACCCTGGTAGAAGGGTGAGACAATGGAAGCAGGAGGTGGTGAGGGATTTAAGGCAGCACAAGGAGCAACCTGATTTCCTTTTTGCTGGTGAAAATACAAATTTCCTCTGGTCTGTAGCCCCCAGTAAGGTCACCCTGCATGTCTGAGCTGCACATGGGTGGGTGCCATCAGGATTCTGCTGCGTGGGATCCCAGCCTGGCCTCAGTGATGGGAGGCTTGGATTGGTGGGAGGCAGCAGGGTTCCCCTGGGGGTGCCTCCTGGGCCGTGGTGCTGCTGGAGCTTTCCAGCACCCAGAGCACACCAGAGGGCCCCAGCTGGGCAGCAGACAGGGTCCCCAGGTGTCTGCTGGGAGCTGCACTGGTGGCTGCTCTCAGCCAGGCTCTGAGGACCCCATGTGAACGGTGTGGCTCTGCCACGCTTTGTCCCCAAAGAAGGGACAATTTCCCTCAGTACCTTTGGGTACCACGGTGTCCCCTCATCACAGCCACGTCCCCACCCTCGTGCCTTGCAGGACTGCGGTGATGGCAGCGGAGGGGACGCTCAGTGTGTGGCCTGCCCTCCCAGGAAGTTCAAGGACCGCTGGGGACACCACGGCTGCAAGCCCTGCCTGTCCTGTGCCCTCATCAATCGCCACCAGAAATCCAACTGCACCTCCACGGCCGATGCAGTCTGCGGGGAGTGCCTGCCAGGGTGAGAGGGCAGAGCCACCTCAGCCACACCTGCGGGCAGCCAGGGAGGGGCTGGGCCAAGGGGGCCTCACCTGAGCTCACCCCAGGGATGCAGGACTCCAGACTGGCTCTTTAAAATGCTGTTTATTGCATTCAGATGATAGAGCAATTCACAGGTGTGGGTGACAAGAGCCTGGCCTACGGCAGGTCAGCATCAGCTGTAGGCTCGCCTGAAGGCAACTCTAGTTCTGGTATTATATACTCTTCATTGTAAAGCATCTTAATACATGACAGCCAATCAATATTTTTACTATTACCTATAGCCTATCAACTACTAACATTACCATATTCATGTAACTATATTCCAATCACAAAAAGTTTGTATGTTGCAGTTTAAGCTAGAAGTCGTTTTTCAGTTTTCTTGCAGTAGAAAATTTTGAAATCTTTTCTTTACTTACAACATTGGCTTTCTTGTTTGCCAGTGAAAATCTTTTTGCTTCATAAAAACATCTTTTGTTTAAAGAAAATTTATCCTTTACTCCAAGTCATAAAACCCCCTTCCAACTTATTTTCCCCTTTAACTTCTTAGTTATCCAGTAAAACTGGCTTAACAATTCCTTTCTTCTATATCAAAACTTACTATAATTTCTATTCCGTTTTCAAATTCTACATTCAAAAATCTATTATATATACATATCTGTAAAACCTTCCTGTCAAATCTTTATCCTTCCCCACAACCCACGGTCCCACAGGGGATCTAAGAGGAGCCTGGTGACCCAGTGATGCCTCTGTGAGGACACTGCTAATGACATGGAAGGCAGACCCGTCTGCTGGGTCTAGTAGCTCCAGGGAAGGGAGCCTGAAGGTTCTTGTAAATGAGCCGTGAAAGAGAATTTCCAGACTCAGATTGTTCTGTAGACACCAGGGTGGCTGAGCCATGGAAGATGAGGGGTTGCAGACCACTATGGTTGGTAGTCCCCAGAGAGGGGGTTTAAGGGGTCACTGGAATGAAATGGCTGTGTACAGGCAGCCTGTGCCTAGTGCAGGTGCTGCAGACACCGCTGGCCAGCGGTGAGCCTGGGACATGAGTCAGGGCTCTGGTGTTTGAGCCTCTTCTCAGACAGAGCTGTAGCTGAGGTGTTCCTGGCCCTGTGGGGAGTTATTAATCATTAAAATCCACTTTAGCAGATGTAGGGGTGGGGGGGCTGTTAGGAAAATGTTACTTCTTGACAAATAGCTAGACATGAACAATTAGATGTGATGTGCCTCCAGCCAGCCATGAGTTGTCTCACCCACCCTGTTGTCCTGTCACCAGCCAGGCAGGAGTGCAGGGTCAGCTGTGGCCGTCTGCTGTGGGGTGGGTGGCACAGCCAGGGTGCTGGGAGCTCAGTGGGGCCAGGCTGTGCTGAGCCTGTCTCTCTCTGCTGGCAGGTTCTACAGGAAGGCTCGGATCAGCGGGCAGCTGGAGTGGGAGTGCATTCCCTGCACCAAGCAGACACCATCCTCTGAGCCACAGTGTAGGTGCCCCCACGCTGGTGGGGTTGGGGCTGGTGATGTGGGCACAGGGGGAGCCACAGCCCTGCTGGAGGGGGCTTGGTCATGGCATGTGATGAGGGATGGGCAGGGAAGGGGTGGTCCAAGCCTCAGAGTTTGTGGATGATGTTTGCAGGTCGGTCCAGAACAAGCCTGGTGAAGGTTGCTGTCCCTACTGTACCACCACAGGACACAGCCCTTCTTGCACTGACCAGCAGTGCCCTGGTCATCATTGTCCTGGTGCTTCTGGCACTTTCCATCATCTACTGCAAGCGATTCTGGAAAAGCCAGTGCCAGAGAGGTGAGTTGGTGCTCTCCTCCTTGCTGTGCTATTCACCTGTGCCTGTGGCCCCTTCTTGCTGTGTAGAACATTGCTGCTTTCACAGCACAGTGACACAGCTGACTCCCCAGTTCATACAGAATAGTCAAATCCTGCTTCTCATGCCTGCAGGACCTCTCATGTGCTTTACCTGCTCACTGACACAGAGGAGCCTCCCTCCTTCTTAGGGCCATCAGGAGAGGGGGGGGGCGGGCATTTCACAGTCGGAACTGGCAATCCTCCCTCCTGAGGATTTTCTGGTTGGGTGGCTCTTGGCTGCAGAATGAAGAGGGGTGTAGCTTTGGTGGCCAGGGTTGGGGCAGGATGGCATCCAGCAGCATACCAGGGAGCTGCTGGGCTCCCAGCTCCTCGCTGGCAGACATACCACAGGGCTGAGGACATGCTAGGGAAGCGAGCCAAATCTTTGCTCAGGCTGTTTCTCCTCTACCCTCAAAGTCTTCCTGAGGACTCAGAATTTCTCGGGCCAGCGAGCAACGTTCCCAACTGCAGCAGCACCCGGCAGGTTCCTGTGTGAGGAGCAGATGTCTGGACCCTGCTGCCTGGGTGTGAAGAATTTGAGCCCATGCTACAGGCAGGCAGAAGGTACCTGCTCTTGCTGCCTTCCTGGGGAAGGGAGGGTGGTGCTGGGCTCCAGCTCACATGGTCCCAGGATGAGATGCCCTTAGGCAGGAAGGATGCAGCTGGATGATGAGCTTCACTGATTCGTGCTGCTTTCTGGTTCCAGGCCCTGTGGAAGCAGTGCAGTTCATTTCGGATGGGGAAGCCGTGGGTCTCCAGCTCCCCTCTCTCCAGCCAGAGATGGATTTACCACCATCCATTGCAGTCAGCACTGCCTCCAAGGCCCAGCTGGGCAGGAGCCTCCTGGAAAGCCAGCCCCTCATCCGGGCCTCAGGCCACAGTGACTGCCTGGAGGGGGTCCTGCCACCCCTCACCCCCAGGCAGGGCCGGCCAGGCACGGTGGAGGCTCTGGCCCCCCTCTCGTCCTGTGCCTCTGAGATGCAGCACAAGTGGCCTCATGCACCCGTGGAGTGCACTGAGCTGGACCTCCAGAAGTTCTCCAGCCAGGCTGAGTTTGTGGGTGGTGAGCGGCTGGAGGATGCAGCAAGCCGGGCCATGAAGAGGATTCCAGCAGAGAGCTCTGGGGTGGTGCAGGAGGGGGCTCATCACTTGCCCACGGCCGAAATCCCACCTGGGGAGCAGCCGGTAAGTTCCTCCAGCCTCATCACTCCTCAGAAATACTGCCAGTTGCCCAAGGCTCAGGCACAGAGGCTGGGCTTGATATAGGGGTAGGAACGTGGACTGGGGAACATTAATATGGGGTGGTAAGGCTGGAGGAGAAGCACCATTCCCTGAGCCCCTATGACAGCCCTGGGAGCAGAGCCAGGCGTTGCTGTTCTCAGCAGACTGCCACCAACCTTGGGGTCTTTGTCTCACCAGGTGGATGATGCCCAGAGCCTGGTGACACAGATCAGCAGCACGGCCAAAGGTAAGTGGCCTTTCCGTGTCACCTTTGTACTCCAAGTATGGGCATATCAGAGGCAGGTTCTTGAAAGGGAGCTCCTCCAGAAGCCCACCATCTCCCCAGCAGGGACTTACCTGACTTGTGGCCTTTGGTGCTGGTCCCCAAGGTATATTTTCTGTGATGCTGCCTAGAGTGGCCTATGGGCAGGTGGCCCAGCTGTCACCAGTTACCAGCTAACCCAGGACTGAGCCAGCTCCACGTTGCTGAGCACTAAAAGTGATGCTAGAGGAGATGCTTGCCCTGGCAGGGTGGTCTTTCACCTGCTCAGCAGGGGCTGAGGCTGGAGGCTGGCTGTTCTCTTTGCCCTCACCCTGTTTGGGTGGGATGGGTGCTAACCCAGCTTCGCTGTATTGCTGCCCCCAGGTCTCCCAATAGCAGAGCTGCCTCATTCCTTGGTGCAGTCACTCGCCTTCCTGTTGGACCCTTCCTTGAACGGCGTGAAGAACTTCAGCCACGTGGCCCTGGAGCTGGGGCTCATGCCCCAGTTGCTGGGCCGCATTTCGGGGTTTGAGCAGCTGGTGGCACACCTGACGCAGGTGGGAGGCGCGGTCACTGTCCCGCTGCTGGCGCAGGCGCTGCAGCGGCTCCAGCGCTTCGACGCCCTGCTGCTGCTCTGCGACCACTTCACAGCCAGCGCCGCGCCCGACCGCCAGCGCTAGGGGACGGGCAGGCACAGAGGGAGCTCCGTGCGCTGCTGCTCGTGTGAGACAGGACCCTGCAGTGGCCTGCAGTCACACAACCTCCCTGGTGTGCGTGGCAGGAGGACATGGATGGTCTCTGCATCGTGGAATGGAAGGACACAACGGGGCGTCTCTGCACAGGGGTTCCAGGAAGCACAGCTGTGCCTTTTCCCTGCTCCAGAGGCTGTTTGTCTCTGGCTGTGACACCCTTGCCTGTCAGTCACTGTACTGCCCATGCTGTGGTGCTCTGGCTCTGCAGTGAGCCCTGTCCTGCCCTGCTGTTGCCATGGGGTCCCTCAGCCGTGGGGCTCAGTGTCCATGGGCAGTGCCCTCCTATGAGCCCAGCCATCTCCTGCCTTCCATTCCAGCTTTCCTTTCCTTCCTCTGGCCCAGGCTCTGCTGTCCTGGGTGCCAGTTGCCACTTTCTCAGTTTACTTTTCAGTTGCTTCTCTCCCTCTGTGCTGTGACTTCCTTGGCAGAGGACTTGACCATGGCTGATGTGCCAGGCTCCAGCCTTTTCCCTCCTGTGCCACCCTGGCACCTTCCTCCTGTGTCCATTTGTGGTGCAGAGTAGCATCCTGGCATGAGTTTCAGACTGTTTCCCGGGATGAGCTGATGTTAAGTCCTCATTGGGACTGTGGCTGTTGGCCATGGGCAGGTGCTGGCTCACCCCAGCCCTGTGGCTGTTCACTGCCCATTGCCTCCAAGGCTTCTCAAACTGCTGTGGTGGCACAAAGTGTCAGGGGCAGGGACACTGCACCACGGGTGGCAGCTGAGGGCTGAAGCTGTGACTGTGGTCACAGGCAGCAGTGACGTTCCTGTGCCGGCCACAGCAGGAGCTCCTCCAGAAGCTCCTCCTCTTAAAATAATATTTTTCTTTTTTTTTTTTCTGCCTAAAAATGGCCTGATTTCTCATTCCTGGGAGTTGCTACTGGGAAGGGGGAGCACCCTTCTGCTTGGTATTTCACCCTGGGGGATTTGTCATAACTTGCCACGGTCTTGCTGTCGCCGGTCACCTTGATCTCAGTGTTGTGCCTGAGCCGGGGGGCTGCAGGCAGCTGGGCTGTTCTGGGTCTGCCCTGGCCACTGGGGCTCTGCTGGTGGCCCTGGCCGGAGCGGGGGCTGCAGGGACACGTTCCTGAGCGGGGCAGAGCGGCGCGGGGGCGGGCAGGCACGCAGAGGCAGAGCAGCTGCAGCAGTGGCTCGGCGCCCAGCAGCACTGACAGCACGGTGCTGGAAACACAGGGCTCAGGGTTCCATCCCTCTGTGGGCCATTCACTTGGGAGTTACACTCCGTGATCTTTGTGCTCCCTTCCAGCTCAGGATATTCTGTGATAAGTGTCACCCGAGCTGTGCCGAGACTCCCAGGCAGCATCATGGGCTGAGCTGGCGGTGCTCGCTCTGCCTCTGTTGCTTTGTCCCTCACTGCCCAGTGCTTTCTGCTGTCCTGCCTGTCACCAGGGTCTCAGGCCAAGCCGATGGTGTGGTGGTCACCAGCAAGTGGCACTGTTACCCCACTGCCTGCTGCCCCCAGCCTCGGCTGAGCCCACAGAATTCTCCTTCATCTGACCACAGGAGCAAGGAGCGGGTGCCCTTCTAGGAAGGCAGACCCCACACCCAGGGAGCTGCTGGTGTTTCCTTTCCCTGTTTAAAGATGTAGGGGCTTGAAAGCACCCAGGATGTGCTCAGATAAGTGAAGGCATGGACAGTTTCAGCTGGACCTGACATTTCTCTCACTGCTTGTTTCTTCCACAGTCAAAGTTATTTTTTTGCTCTTTGCTCCCCAAGACCCACAGCGTTGAACCTTGTGCCATGTGGGGCCAGGATTAGTCAGACTCTGCTAGGGAGAAGCTCGGAATGTTGCTATAGCACACACAGCCTGGGGCCAGGGATTTCCTGTTTGAGGCTTTTTTGTGGCAGGGAGACTGCTGGGCTTAATCACCTCACAAAATCCAATAAATATTTAATCCTTCTGTGGACATAGTCACTTCCAGTGGGAAGGAAAATAACTTCACCCACTGCATCTGAGTAAGAGCCTCCCTGCCGCTCGGTTTACTGGCCCTGGCTTTGAAGCTGGAACTGGACTGGACAGCTTGTCCTCTGTGTTCCTGTGTCACCAGTGTGTGGTCACTCGGAGTGTGCAGAGCAGTGGCAGCCAGGCAGGATGGCAGTGTCAGGAGCAAGAGATGGGCAGCAAGGGCTGTTAGATTTGTGCTGTGGATAACGGGGACGGGTCACCAGTGTGTGCTGCAAATCTCTTCACATGCTGGGCAGCTCCACTGGTGTACCAGGGTGGGGCACTGGGCCAAGCAAATGGAGTGAAGCTTTAGTTCATTTGTTTGGGGTTTTTTCTCACTTTTATAAAAAAAATCAACCCCTTTTTCTTCATGGCTTTAAAGTTATTTTTCAGTTGTTTGATGTCTGAGCAATATTACAGTCAAAATTTAACCCCTGCCTTGAGGGTGTGTGCTGTGCTGTGTATGGGTGTGGGCTGTGCCACACAGGGTGTGTAGGGTGGTGTGTGCCATGCCACAGCTCCTGCCCCACTGGCACTGCCCCTCAGGCCCTGGCTGTGCCACAGGCTGTGCTGCCTCAGCACTGGTAGGCAGGGACTGGTTTGAGGTGTGTTTGAACTGTTCTGGGTTCTCCCACAGAGCCTCACACGTGGTGCAAGTCACAGTGGCTGGTGCTCCAGCAGGGCTGGGCACTGCACAGGGATGTGGCTTTTCAGCAGTGAGGCTCCCCCAGCTCCCCACTCTCACTGTGCTCATGGCAGGCACCTGCCTTCAGCTGTGGTGACAAAACTAGCTGTGTTTACAGGGGCCAAAAGTTCAGCTGGTAGCCTTTAGCCCACCCTCAGACCCTTTGGCCAGGCTGCCTTGAGCCCAGACAGAGCCCTCAGGGAACCATGAGAGCCTTGAAAACGGAGATGATGCTGTGACTCTGACATCAGAACAACGGTGATCCCTGAGCAGGGAACTGCTTCAGTGGAGAACCAATGGACTTGATACTTGACTTTCGGTTTTTAATAGTATTTTCAACATAATACATGGAATGTAAAGGTAGGGAAATTCCTCTAGTGCTGGATCTCACGTCACAGCTTCAGGAAACCATTTGTGCCAAGCTGGCATGGCTTGCAGAGAGGTGAAAGAAATCAAATAACTCTGCATCTGTGCAAACTTGAGCAAGGACTGAACAGTGGAAACACTCCAGTGCAATGGGGTTATTTTTTTACAAGTCATTGGTTTCCACACCAGTCTTGCCTGGAAGTCTGATTTGCAGAGGAATTTGTATGATAAGTTTAAATCCAGCCCTGTTCTGGGAAGCTCTTAAGCATAGACTTAAAATAGGCACATACTTCACTGTTGTTAAAGTGTTTATTCGTGTGAACAATTGGTGAACATCCCTCGGGTGCTGTTCCTGAACTGGGGGCTCATGAGAGCTGTCCCTCCAATGTGCTTTTACAGAAATAAGCAATACTGAAGAAAATTTGGTGGTACTGATCAGGGCACACTTCTTGGAAGAGTCTGCAAGTGTTGAGGGGGAGATACCCTCTCTGTGTTGGATCAGTTAATACTTCAGACTCTGGTGCTTTTAAAAAAAAATAATCACTACATTTCTGTAGCCATGATTTACCCAAGGGAATACATGTTGTTTTTTATGGTAGATGTTATTTTTCTTTAAGGTTATGAATAGGTTATTTATATTTTTGTAAATTCTGCGCCGTTACCGTTTGTAATTCTGCTGTAGTGTTGTTTCTGTTGGGTTTGGGGTGTTGTCTGTGTTCAAATCAAGCAGAAGCTGAAGCTCCTGCCCCCTGTTAATGGAAGGGGGTTGGTTCCTCACATTCCTCCAGACCTGGTGCTCTTGAGTGATGTGTGTTTGTAGCTCAATAAATTTTGGAGCCAGACATGGTGACGCTTGGTGAGTTTTGATTTCTCTCCACATTGCTGTGGGCCCCCTGCCCGCCTGCCAGTGGGGGCTGGAAGGGCTGTCTGGGAAGAAGAAAGTCCTGTCTGGCAGGGCAGGCAGCTCTTCTCAGAGATGCTGCAGCAGCCGAGGGGTCCTCAGCTCCTGATGTGGGAAGGGGCAGGAGGGGCTGGAGCAAGTGGTGCAGGATGGGGTGGCCGTGGTCCTGTACCCTCAGGGCCCCTCCAGGGCACCTGCCCCCACCGCAGGTATCAGCTTTAACATCGCCCACAGTGGCCAAGTCTGAGCTCTGGTTCACTGCATGGTGGGGATGGGGGAGGCAGAGACCCCTAAACGATACCCAAGGAACTCCCATTCCCGAAGCTTCCCTGAGGAACAGTTGCTGTTTAAGCTCAGTAATTACTGGCATCGTTAAGCCTATTCATGCCCTTCTACTGGTACGTTTAAAATAATTATTAGCATTTAATTACTGTTGTAATTAAAGCTATGATACTTGTCCAAACTCTGGCAGTGTTTGCAGTGCTGCAGCTCATCCTGCGTGTGAGGATCCCCATGCAGTGCTGTGTCTGCAGCCCTGGCTGCCTCTGTCCTACCCCAGGGAACAGCTATGGACAGCACAGCCTGTGCAGTCAGGGCCCAGAAGAAACTCTCATCCACCACCAAACACAAAGTCCTGGCAGTGCTGGAGGTGCTCAGCATGCCCAGTTTCCTTTTCCGTGGAGCATGTGGGTGCCTGGATGTTGTCACAGATGCTGTGCATGGTGCAGCCCAGGCGTTCTGAGAGCTCCCAGTCTCACCACAGTCTGTAAGGGGTGATGATCCTGTGTCCCTGCCTGCACCAGCCCCAGGCAGAAGGTGTGGGCAGGGTGCTGTGTCCATCCTGTGGGTGACCTGAGCCCAAAGCTCTGCCTGTGCCCATCACTTGGCTGAGGCCACTGTCACTGAAGGAGGAGAGGGCTGGAAGTGTCTATTGGGAGAGCAGCTTCCTGCATGCTTTTGGGATGGGAATTCAACATCTGCCATGCCTTATCTTCGAGGGATTCCTAGTCCTGGGGTTGAAACCATCTGGACACCATTCTCAGGTGCCTGAACACACTGCAGTAGGCAAAACGGGGATGGGTTTGGCCACACCTTGGGTCTGTGCTGGAAGAACAGGGGTGCCCCTCCCATGCAGAGCAGGTGCTCCCACCCAAGGAACTCCCAGTGATCAAGAGGTTTACACCCCCTCTGCTTCTCACCACAACTGCT